CAATGGGGAAAAAATGAACTGATTGTTTGAGTAACCTGACTTCTTTGGAGTACAGGAGTTAATGAACTACAAGATAACACGACATCAAAGTTTTGCTGTAAATCAAGTGACTAAACTGGATATGTGTAAATGATATATACATGATATATATATATATATATATATATCATATATATACGATATATGCAAATAGAACGCAAACTAGTTCGAGCGTAACGAGACGTGACGGAGGTGGATAACGAGCACGAATGCGAAGAACCCACCTCCTTTGTCTCGGCCCGTCATACGCGTAGTAGTTGCTCACCTTTCGTAATGTATGTAACGCGTTTCACCGAACTTTTTAACTCAATATGACCGGACCCGAACGAGTACGTGCTACCCGTGTCTCTATGTTTCGCGTTTGGTGTACCAGAGGCGTGTGAAGCGCACGGTGGAACATGGAATCCGTTGGTCACGCACGAGGCCAACGCATCGGTCACGGCTCCATAGCCTTCCTTGATGACGCAATGATCTCCGCTTAGTTCGAACACATCATCCTGATCCCAGTGTCGTAACGAGAGATTGTGCAGTTCCGTGGCATTCGCGAACTCTAAATTGGCCATGTGCCAATCCAGAGTCTGTCGCTCAGCATCAGTCAAGTAAACATCTCTGAAATTTGAAATGTGTAATAAATATAGACCAGACAGAAAATACACTTAACAACTAGTATTTAAAACCGATCAAGATAAAACGTTGAGTGTTGTTTGGTTACTAATAAATAAATAGTAGCACCAAGATGAAGCAGTTCTCAATATCATCAGAATCAGAATCACCATACCATGAGGAAATCACATGGCTTACTTAGGTGGACATTGTAGTAATATTTCTAGCTGACGATTGACACGATTTAATGCATCCTGTAATGGGTCGAATTTTTTCCACGCCTCGTGAAGTTCACTCAGAAGACGTCGAACTTCGAATTGCGCACTGACATTGTAAACCGGTAATGGAGTTACTGGGGATTCTTGCTCGCGAGTGGTTGAGCTAAAACGATAAGAAAAACAGATTTGATAACGAGGAAGAACAAAGATCAAACTAACTGTGATCCGTTTGAAAATTTGCTTTAGTTAAGATACTTTGAATAATAAGGCAAATTATTGGAACAGAAAAAGATAAGTTAATTTAATTGGAAAACATAACCAAACATGCTCAGAAGCGACGTGACGAGGCGTGCCGATTTATCTGCGAGTTACGGCTGAATTGTCAACGTGGAGTCAACCAAGATGCGCCTATAAAACCCAAAACCACTGAACCGCAACGGGTCAAGCAGTAAAACGGAAGTCTCGTTCGAGAAAAGCACTATCAGATTTGCTGAAACACTGATGCTCAGTGGTTTCTGGACCTGAAAAACTGTCCTGTTACCTTGTGAGTGAGACCATGCTGGTTCTTCAAGACAATCTTCTACTGTGACACGAGTGACAACGACCCATTACAATGACGTCAGTGTGAGACAGAAAGTGAAATTCATATCACCAACTACTTTTGCTTTTTATAACACATTTTTGTGATAAATGGCACATGGGACGGACCCTTAGTTGCGAAGACCTGTTGTTCACTGATTGAAATCGGCAGCCTACACCCCGACACTTGGAATGGCGAACAACATAAAGCTGCGTTAGGTTGGGTCTGGCATTGAACCGGACGACAGCAAAGACCCCAAGCACGCCGGTGACAGCGACCAAACCACTGCACCACTACCACACATACTTTCATATGCATTCTTTCTTGTGGAGACTAGGAATTCGATGTACAAGTACTACACCCGGAATCCTGGATAACATATTCCAGAACAATAACAACTTCCATGTTTGAGTAAAATCGTTTCGATAGCACGAAAAAGCATGTGATCACACATACGTACCGTGAAACTTGTTGGCGTTCCACTTGTTCCTCATCCGGTTTTATATCGGGACGAGGGGAGACATGTTGAACTGCATTAATATTGGAGCTGCAACCGAATTGCCCAATCTCGACCCGGGGAGTGACAACAGAGCACGGGTTCGCTCGAGCACTGGCCGTCTGCCAACGCTCATATGCGTCCTCTATATTCTGACGCTCGGTTGCCATCTGTAAGCACAAGCCATGCGGTACAAGAAAGAGTAAACTATTCGGCTAAATCTACGCCATTTTGGTATTTAGCATGAGGCGAATATGATAAACGGATTAAAAATCATAATTCAAAGATAAACTGCAGTATGGAAAATAGGTAGCACAAGTGGCTTTCAAGCAACCTGTGGATTCCGCATTCGAAAATTATGCTCCAAGCAGGCCAAAAGACAGGAGTGTGCTGTAGGTTTGTAGTCTCGATCCACAAGCTATTAGTCCTCACCAATATTTCTTCAGCCGATACCCACAACACTTTAGCCTCCACAAACTTTAGCCATGCCGCTTTAGGTGAGTCGGACGAAAAAGCATCGGAATATCCTGAGGTCAACGAATGTTGAAACATTTTATTTTTCTACAAATGTTGATGCACCTAAGCTTAGTTAAGAAATGAGCAGGTGTGGCGGAGGCATGCATGTACCACATGCTGATTGCAGAAGGTTTAAACGACGTATCCGTATCGTCAAACCAATTGGCATATCTCGTACGCCTTCAGTGTTTTCCACATAAAATGCGATACTCCTGTGAGTAAAAATCTCAAATGTAACACAGACGTTACATTATTTCTCATTTACAAGCCCTGACATGAATCAAAGAGATATAATGAAAAGGAGCGCTTCGGTGCCGTAACACCACTTAAAGGGAACACCACTTTTGAGAGGTGGACACATTGAAAGTTCATTCACACGAGACGCCTTTCTTTAGTACATTTTCCCCATCAAACTTTAGACAAAACCGGTAATTCTTGAGAACCCACCGTCGTAATTATGTCAAATATTACAGTGCTCATAAGTTCCACTTTCAGTTTTCACAACCATTAATCATGCACTTTCGTGCGCCGGTTTTGGTTGCTGTCTTCTGGTGCCCCAGTTGGATAAAAGAGCATAATGAAGATCGGAATGTTGAAAGTAAATTCAAGCGGAAGATGGAGAACTCATAGAATGGTATTAGGGGGATAATGAGTGGATGCACGAACGCCACTGTGTGACACCCAGCTATATCGCTCAGTGTCTCTAACCATCGGTTATCATCATCTCTGGGTCCCCAGCCAGGAAATCTAACCAGGCATATGTGATCTAGTCTCCTGGTCAGGATTTTCATACCCTCATGCCAGGTCTTTGTTTGAACACCCTTGATCTTTTTTCTAACCGCTACCTGCCTCGGAAAAAATCGCTCGCCGTGACAACCTATCTGGTGGTATACGTAAAACATATCCCAACCAGCGTAATCAATGGAGTTCGATCACTTGCTCCAGTGGACGACTGCGACTGCCTAGAACTCTACGCCTAACATCAGCATTGCTCATCCGGTTTCCTCACCAGACTCGTGCAATTCGATGTAGACAGCATTCATAAACTGATGATGGTGATAAGCATTTATTTTTGTGAATAGTGTTTATTATCCTCGACCTGTTAATTTATCGGCCTCTAAAGAACGGAGTTCACTTTAGCTAGAGATACGGAATGGTAAGCATCCACTTTGCTGTGGTATCAATATTTGATTAATTTCAGGGTTCAATCATGGACTGGGTTTTCCAATTCTGCTGTTGGAGTCACAGTTGGCGATTCTTGGGTGAAATCAGACAACTGAATCTTAATCAAAACCTTGAACGATACTACCCTTACATAGGGCGCTCGCTTCACTAGAATGTAGTTGCTGCATTGCAGCACTCGTCAACCCACAACCCGGGTCCGAAAAGCATTTTGTCCCCACATCGGCAGATTTCCCAGCAAGCGGTTTAAATTATTGGGGATGCTGAATTTTGTCAGGGTGTAACGGTTGTCAGGTTGAGTTAAATAAACCGTTTTGGAACTGCTTCATCTTCACTGAGGCAGCAAAACAAGTTCCATTAGTCTACCACAGTGTATTCTATATTACCATCAATATTACCCATAGAACTCAAAATCACATATTGTTCATATGTGCGTGCACGTGTGTTTATATGCCTCAGATTCATGATCAGTCGTGTGCGCGCGTGTGGTACGGTGACCAAAACTACCGCACAGAAATGAACGGTCAATGATTGACTGAAGTGAATCACACTGTGGTACGAGAGTAAACTAAGCATACAAATCTAGGAAGCGCATAAATCAAAGATTTACTATAGGAATAACTTACAAGCTCCCGCTTTTCTCGTCCCATAAGTACGTATTGTGGTTAAAAGACAATGATACATACAATTCCTTGTGTAAAATGTCACATGATATGGGGTTCTTCCACTGCGGTACGCAGCTTCACTTATGTTGGAATCTAAGGTGTGCTGTTTCATCGAGTCTCAGTTTGAAAGATTCTATGCATAGTGTACAGACGACGTGGAGTGAGAGAGAGNATCCAGATCGAACACACTCTGACTGCAAATGACTGACACCGGCATTCCAATCGGCATTTTGAGACTATTAGTTTGAACGGATGTCCTCTAAGATGAACGTTTGCGTGATAATTTTAGCAACGGGCGACACAGACGATTTGGGTTTTGCATTATTTGGTATACCATAACCATATCTCTTCTGATGCGCCGGTGGTGATTGGAATATAACCCCAGTGACTTCA